CCCTCTCTCTCTAGCCCTGTTCTTTTTCTCTCTCCTCGGGGACGCTTCTCCTCTAGCTCTCCTCCTCCTCCTCCTCCCTTTAACTTTGGGCTATATAAGCTTTGGGGGATTGGAAAGCGGCAGCGAGCGGGCGGGCGGGGCTCTCGCCGAGTTTGAAGTTGAACCCACCCCAGGCCAAAACCCCACCTTTCTCTCTCCTCCTCCCCGCCGCCGCCCCTTCAAATCGCAGCCGCTCCCCCCCGCCTCCGTCCCCGATCAAATGCGGCGAGATCTGCGCGCGTGACCTCGTAAGTCCACCGCGCCCCGCTCCCTCCCGTCCGGCGGCCTCTCCGCCGGCCGTGGCGGGGTTCTTGGAGCTGGCATTCCAGCCTCCGAGCTCGGATTAGATTGGATTGTTCTTCCGTTTTTTCCCCTCTGCTTTTCTTGGGTTCGGAGCTGTGTTCTTGCTTCCTTGGGTCGGATCGAGAGCCGCACTGTGCGCCGCCATTTCGCATCCATTTTGATGCGCTCATGGAGTCGGCATTTGGGATTCGTTCGCTGATTTTATAAAAGAAAAACAAATCATTGGGGTGGCTTTGATTCGGAGTTGGTGGAGCTTGGACCCGGGGCTGATTATTTTTCTCCCCCTGCGTCTTGAATTCTGATTTGCTCCTTGAGTTCCGATTTGACATTTCGGCCCAGAGCTCCACCGTTCCCTCTTTCTTCTTTTTTCACAACAGTTTAGTGGGGCTGTCGGCAGGTTTTGTCACCGAGTGCTTTGCTTTTGCATCCGTAATTACGGGTCACTTGTCTTTTCTTGTGTTTTCATGTGAGCTCACGCTTTTGGTCTTCTCCTTCCCCCCCTCAACCCCAAGATATATATCTCTTGGAGTATTGGCAACTTTGCCATCCATTTTGATTTGTTTTCTCTGGACAATACTACCTTTTTTCACTCTGAATATTTGTTTTTTTTGTGTGTGTGTGGAGTTGTTTGGTACTTCAATGCACTTATTCCTCACCATTGCTTGCCAGAAGTACTGATTTGTTTTTGTTCCTTTTTACCCCCAGGATAGTTTGAAAAGAGCATAGCTTGCTGTGTGCGAGCTGCAGCAGACTAGACAAGGATGGATCAGTATGAGGTATTGGAGCAGATTGGGAAAGGAGCATTCGGCTCTGCTCTGTTGGTGAGGCACAAGGTGGAGAAGAAGAAGTGAGGCTCACTACGACTAGCACCCCTCTTCACTCGCCTTCTAGGATTAATTTTGTTTCAGTCATTTTGATGCTCTGTGTCTCGTGCAGGTATGTGCTGAAGAAGATCCGGCTTGCCCGACAAACGGACCGCACTCGCCGGTCTGCCCACCAGGAGGTAAATCTTCTTCTGCTTCATCTTCCCAAGCCATGTTTATTCATTTTTTTGGTGCCTAGTTGTGATTTGAAGGAAAACCTTCTGCCCATCAAGACCAGCTTATTGATGCCATTTTTGGTACAAACTATCAGTAGATGTGGTGCAGATTTGGTTATGTAAATATATTACCACCTGATGGTGCTATTGAGATGAATTGATCTGAATCATTGAACTAGCAAGATATATTGTCTTGTGTTGTGCTTTCCTTTCACTGAATTGTGCGGAAATGTTCTTCATGCAGATGCAGCTTATTGCAACTGTGAGAAATCCGTTCATCGTGGAGTACAAAGATTCGTGGGTAGAGAAGGTAGGTAAAAGGACAAAAAAGGGTTATACTGGCAAGCAGGAAGGCGAAATTGATTCAGTTTTACTTAATATATGTGTTATGCTCATTCTGTTTATTTGAACTTTCAGGGTTGCTATGTCTGCATTGTTATTGGTTATTGTCAGGGAGGAGACATGTATGTTACCTGTGATGTCCTTTTAAACAGTTTTTCACAAACTTTAGTCCCTGTAGTTAACACAATATGTATTGGTCCAGGTCTGAAGCTATTAAAAGAGCTAATGGTACCTATTTCTCTGAGGAGGTGCAGTTCTTGCCTTGCTTTTCTTTTGGCATCTTTAGCTTGTTTTGCCGAGGAACGCACTTTTAACTGTTCTCATTTTGCAGAAGCTTTGCAAGTGGCTTGTGCAGCTCCTTATGGCTCTTGATTACTTGCACACAAACCACATTCTTCACCGTGATGTGAAGGTCAGTGACTACTGACAGTGGTTCAGTTGGAGCATATATGATGGTACTTATATTTGTAAGGCGTGATAATAATGTGAACTGAAGCTGCTAATTTGTTTCAGTGCTCCAATATTTTCATTGCGAGGGACCAAACTATAAGACTCGGTACGTAGCTTAGTCCCAGAAAAAGTGCAATACTTTATGTATGAGTTATGCAATCCTGGTAATGATGTGATTTCAAATTTAATAACATTGCAGGTGACTTTGGGCTTGCAAAAATATTGACTTCTGATGATCTGGCATCTTCCGTAAGTGATCGAAATATCTTTTGTCTTTCTTATGCATATTCGATGGTGTACTTAGTACTATATTGCTCTGAACCTAGGTGGTAGGAACGCCAAGTTACATGTGCCCAGAACTTCTTGCTGATATACCATATGGTAGCAAGTCCGATATTTGGTCTCTAGGTATGTATCACTTCTATGGGATAAATCACTTTCCTGAACCTAGACAGAAAACTTGTGATTCCATACTTATATTTTTTTTTCTGTTTCAGGATGTTGTATATACGAAATGACTGCTCTCAGGCCTGCCTTTAAAGCTTTTGTAAGTCTCAACATTGCCTTCTTTTTTGTGCCCATGGATGTAATTAGTTTATAGATTATTGCAAATTGTTGGTCAAACTTCAAAACTACAAAGTAACATTATTGTTTACCTGCTGAGCACTTTATGCTCTTTAAGTTAGATTATTTAACACGTCTAGGACGTTTATGTTCTATTATTAGTAAACCTGCATTGTACTAATTACTAGGCTCACATTGTACTAACAATGTAAGGCCCCAGAAATTAATGAGGGTTTGGTTGTCATTAATTCATGGCAGGACATGCAAGCTCTGATTAACAAGATCACGAAGTCAATAGTATCACCATTGCCTACCAAATATTCTGGTCCATTGTAAGTTAGCAAGCTTTTTTGTTTCTCACTCAATTTTGCTTGTCATCTTGCCCGAATGGAGCATGCTTAACTTTTACTTCATGCAGTCGGGGACTTATTAAGAGCATGCTGCGGAAAAGCCCAGAACACAGACCAAGCGTAATTCCTCAGTGCCCTCTTAGTCATTGCTAATCTACCATTTATTTTCATACAAATTTGTTCTCTGATGCACATACCACTTAATACCTGTATAGGCTGGAGAACTGCTGAAACATCCTCAACTTCAGCCTTATGTGTTTCAAGTTCAACTGAAGTCTAGTCCTACTCGCAATATTCATCCCATCAATGAATCTCTGACCGACAAAGTTAAGAAGATGACAGTTCCTGATGATGTCCCTGATTCTGCGCGCAGAAGAATGGTTAGGAGAAACTCTTTGGGAAGTCATAGGATTGTAACATTTAGCAAACCATCACCCGAGCGGAATTCTGTTAGTTCTACTCGGAGCATCAAGGAGTATACAACCACTCAGAGTTGCAAAGAGTTATCCATTGACAGCAGTCAGGCTGAGGAGGACGAGGTTACCAGTAAAGCCATGATAACCAAGACATCAAGCATCCTAAGGACTCCGAAGAGTAATCCAGTGAAGACATTCACAAGTAGAAACAGGCTTGAAACTCCAAAAACATCTTATAACAGAACAAACCGTGCTGAGGTATTTTTCGCCATTGATTCTTTATGCTCTAAATAGTAGTACTGATAAACTTGTTCACCATTTGTTAGTGAAATGCCATAGTCCTCAATTATAGGTATAGCTTTATAGCACATTGTAATTTTTTGTCTGTAACATGCATTTGCATTCTTCAGTTTTGCATGTCTTGCTACATGCTTAAACAGATGTTTGAATATTCATTGAGTGTCTAATTTCTTCTGTGCAGCCGCCCTCAGTGACACCTGTGAACAAGAGTGCTCGACTGGCTCGAAGAGTATCCCTCCCACTGTCGACATACGAAACGCCCATCAAGCGCAGCATCAGCATTGTTGACCAGCTAGGCTCCCCTGATGTGTCCATGAACGCGCCTCGAATCGACAGGATCGCAGAGTTTCCACTGGCTTCATCAGAGGACCCCTTCCACTCCATCCACAAGCTCTCTTCAGCCCATGGCTCATGCTCCACCCCTCCCTTCATCAACCGGTCGATCACCAAGGACAAGTGCACGATCCAGGTGCTGCGCGCGGACGGCGGGGACAACGGGAGCGACTCGTCGGGCCGCAACGCCACGGCCGCGTCGAGCCGGGGCTCCAACGACTCGAGGCTGCAGCGGTTCGACATGTCGTCATTCCAGCAGCGCGCGGAGGCGCTGGAGGGGCTGCTGGAGTTCAGCGCGCAGCTGCTGCAGCAGGAGAGGTACGACGAGCTGGGGATCCTGCTGAAGCCGTTCGGCCCCGAGAAGGCGTCCCCCAGGGAGACGGCCATCTGGCTCTCAAAGAGCTTCAAGGAGACGACGTAGCGGCAGCGCTCTCTGTCGGCCGGTCGCCATTTTTGTAACGTGATGCGCGACCGACCGGCGTAGCTGAGGTAGTTGGATTAAATCGGTGTTAGGCCTGAAGTTTAGCTGCTGGGACCAAAGCAAACACCATCTCAGTGTTGCTGTTGTCCTAACTTGTTAGCTGTAGCTAGTAAGTAACCCCAGTTCACTAGTAGCAGCAGTAGAAGCACTAGTAGCACTACTAGTAGTAGTAGTAGTAGTAGTAGTAGTAGAATTGTACTTCTAAGTTGGAACCCTGGATCTGGCATTATCTTGAACCCTTGTAGCCATGCTGCCTGCCTTGCCCCATTTCAATCATGCCATGATCCTATCTATGCCTATGCCATGATCTCTCTCCTGATTGGGTCAAATGCAAGAATCCTATGCCTCCTATGAACCTAGCTAGTAAGTTTAAAAATGCTGAAATGGAAGCTTTCATTGTTGTTCTGACTTGAAAATTCATGCGTGGATGGGTAGATGCCATGTGATGCACCTAACCTAAGCCCTGTGTCGTGTCTGTGTGCGTAGCTTGATTCCAAGCTGAATTTAAACCATGGCTTGTCCTTAAACAAGCGAGGATCTCAGCCGGGGCAAGCTGCCAAACGGGGGCGGCGTGGCCATGTGGTGACGAGAAAAACAAAAACAAGAACCTGGGGGTTTGGCACGGGGCCGAATCTCCCCATGTGCCCAGCTGCAAGGCGATATGAGAGGGGAGGGGAGAACGATGGCGCGGATCTCGGGAGCACGGCGCACGGGGCATGTCTTGGCGCCATGCGGGCGTCGCAGAGGCAACGGTACCGTGTAGATGGAGACGGAGAACAGTCTCCTTGTCGATCCATTGCATCCGTCTTGGGAGATGGCAGCCGGTGGCGTATGCTCTTGAGTCTTTGCCAAGCAAACACCCTTGCCTTGCATTGGTAATCTATATATACAAGTACTGGCTAATGAACGGAAAATTAACTATACACAGCAATCAAAATGTGCTTTTGTTTATCAGGGCCTCTCGTTTTTCGAGATGAGTTTTTGAATCAACATGTTCACGATTCTTTCTTGAGGGTTTATGGGCATAGTTCAACAGTAGGCAGCAGGAGTTTCAAGTGTGGCGAGCCATTCCGACGGCCCCTTTTTTGGGAAAAAGAAGTGCGCGATGCAATCTCACACATGAAGCATAATAAGGCAACGGGGTGTCGGGGCTAGATGGGTTTCCGGCTAAGTTCTATCAGAAATTATGGCCGGTCATCAAGGGTGATATTATGCTTATGTTAGTAGTGATATACAAGACATGCCCTTGTATAAACCAAACTTCGGCATTATCACTTCTTAGTCAAACAGAAGAGAGGCTATTAAGATACAACAGTCTCGTCAAGTTTGTTTATTCAATGTTAGCTTTAAAATTTTCATCAAAGTCACAACTAATCGTGTGCCTGCGATTGCTCACAAGGTGGTGGGACCTACACAAAAGGCTTTCATGCCTCGAAAACAAATCCTAGAGGGAGTTGTACTTTTGCATGAAACCATCCACGAGTTGCACTCTAAGAAACTCGATGGAGTTATCTTCAAGGTGGACTTCAAAAAGATGCATGATAAAGTCGAATGACCCTTTTTTTCAATAAGCCATGCTCATGAAAGGCTTTCCAATAAAATGGTGTTGATCAGTCGACTCATTTGTTAGTGGGGGTAGTGTAGTGTCAAGGGAAATAGGTCATTATTTTCAGGCGAGAAAGAGAGTACACACCAGGGGG